GGGGGGGGGGGATGATGGTGAGGCAGGGGTTGTGGTTAATTGTTACTTGTAGCGTTTGTACGGTGCGTTGTAACGTTAGAGCTACCACAACCACTTTGCGCGTGAGTAGCCCATGAACGTGGTTACTGCGAACAGCCGTAACATTTTGTCAAGAGGAATCACGCTCTCCCACCCCTCTCCTCCCTCACCTTCTCTAGTAAACTCTGTTAACAGACGGTACTGTGAATGGAATTCCTGTGGCGGTGGTTAACCTACTTTAATCCCTCTCTCGGTGAGCGGTGAAGTATGTACGTGTGTTTGCGCGTGAGTAGGTTCGGTACGACCTGGGCTGGTTTTACTGGGGCAGAATTTCAGTTAGCGGTAAGGAGGTTGTTAAAATAATATAGTACGTGGGTGGTTGGCGGGTGCTCTGGTGTGGTTTGATTCTTCTTTCCTATCAAGCATCTATCGTCCTTATCTCCCCTTCTTCTTTTTTATGTTTGTTGCTCTCTTGTAACACCTCTTATCTTCTGGCGCTCTTTTGACCGTATGCATTTGCGAGCGCCGTAAAACCTCTACTAAAACCAAAACTAATAATATAGCACACAGTGGAAGTTGTCTGAGACCGTTACCCATAATCATTGTGCGGGTGGTTTGTGTACGCCACTGGTAGGTCTTACTTCTTTATTTTCCCTCTGTTGTTTCTGTCTATCTGCTTATCTTACTTTTACTCACCACTAAATGATCATAATTGTGGCGATGTGTTTTTTTAATTAAGCAAAAAAAAAAAAATTAAAAAAAAATAAAATTAAAAAAAAAACACTTTGTAAGACGTCCCCCTGTCTCACCCAACCACTTTTCTGCTCGACAATGGGTAGTTTGAGATTGGTTTGTTTGCGTAAAGAGTGCTTGATAGGGGCGTTTAACTTATAGATCTACACTTACTTTTTTACCCTGAGGTTTTTTTTAAACAACTTCAACCGTGGGTTTTGAGACAATGAATAAAATGTTAACTGTGTACCAGGAGATGCTGTCCTCCAATTATGCTTTGGCATGCATGGAGGTCTGCTACGATCAGCTGTACGTAGTACGACTTAGTACGTGACAGTTGTTCTGGTCTTTTGTCTCTTGTAAAAGTAAACGTGAGACCTCCAATCGGATCTTTCTTGACCTACTACGAATCACCGGGGTCTCCACTGTCAATGGGGCCACTTTTTGGTCGCCTAACGTCATAATGTCATAATGCGAAAGATGTCTGTCTTCAAGTTATTATTGGGGGGGGGG